GAGGTTGGCGTCGTTGAATACGACGTCATGTGTAGGCGAGACAGGGGAGGGGGGGACATCCCATGTTAGAAGTGAGTGTTGAGCAAAGATCATGTCCAGTCCTAGCCAGTCCAGTTGGGGGTCTGAATCCTTACTGTCCATACAGTGCTGTACTGTCGTACACAATAGCTGTTAAAGCAAGCCACCACACACCGACAGAAACACGAGGGGCACCGACGACGTGGAACCGGGTCAAAGTGACCTCTTAGAGTCGAGCTTGACTTGCAGGCGTCGCAGCAAAAGCAGGGGGGAAGGAAACGACTGCAGGGAAAAGGAAAACCACAGCAACGAGTCAGTTCTGGGTCGTCGGGCCCCCAGAGATGTGAGATTCGAGAGGAGAGGAGAGGAGAGTCTAATGTGATGTTAGGTTAGGAGATGAGGTTAGTCAGAGGAAGAGACCCTCAGGATCCTCAAGAGACCCAGCAGAAGGGAGCCGTCTGCGGGCCGGTGCGAACCCGGAATCGGCTTCTTCGAGTTCCGTATGTACGCTACTGTATGTACGATCTTCCAAGGTAAGGTCAGAGGCTGCTGAATGACCGGTGAAGGTCCCTAATTGCAGTGCGAATATTATGCGAGTTCTGACTAATCGGCTTAACGGAATCCCGAGACGTAGAGACGGCCTATTGAATTCTATGTTGAAGGCATGTCAGGCATGTTTGGAATTATAATAGAGAAGGTGAACTTTCTTTCAACGACAAAGCTGACCGTCTCGTGTTAAGCATCCGGCTGATAAAGTGGCCAATGTGAGGGGCAGAAACGGGCAGAGACGGTCACCACGGACGTTGTGTGGCTTTGCAAATGTCTCGGACAAGAGCGGCTGAAAACACCTACCATCCAGGTTCTTTGTCATTCGTGTTTATGTTCATATGTACCGGCCAGTTCATATGTACAGTACAGTATCCGTACTCATTACGCGCATTCACCTGAGACGGTATTCCTGAAAGGAGCTGTGTATCTGTACATGATCTTGAAGAGACAATTATTCAACATGTTTTGCGACTCACAATCCAGGCCCGTTAAAGGCTGAGACATTCTAGGTGCCGTTCCATGTTGTCGGTGACAACAAGCCGTCGCTTCAGCATGTCATAGCCTTTCCCTGCTCGGCCACCAGGCCCAAGATGGCCATTACGGCGGTCCGAATTTTAATTACATCTGTCTCTTTTTTCTCTCTCTCTCTCTTTCTTTTTTCTAAGCGAGTAAACAAACATATTTAGATTGGGGGTCGTATTGGGGGTTTGGTCTATTATCACAACCCATGCGATATTAACAGGTTGCTTATGAACTGTGTGACATTTTATTAATTACGCGAGGTCATCCAACCGTTGCACATGTTGTTTCGTGCTTTACACCCACACGTTCGCGGCGTCTTTCTAGAATGAAGCCATAATCTGGACTATTGCTTATGTATACCTATCCTAACTATTGCTTTACCACACACAAAGGCTGACTCTGGCTATGCGAAATCTGAACTGAACCAATTTATTCAAGTCCCGTATGCTACAACTGACAAATCTCTTGTGCCCAATCTTTGGCTTATCGCCGCATATCGGAGGGCAAAAGTCCAAGAATCCAGAGTATAGACACGATATCTATAACACTCCCCGGCTCCTGAAACTCATCCACAACTGACATGACCCTGCTGGGACCCCAAATCTCTCAGATTGTGGGCTTTACTATTGAATTCGATAATAGAGTTACCAAATATGGATATGCCCTGGCCAAGACAACATAGCAGGCATTGCATCTCACCTACCGTTATGGTTGAATTGTCGACATATGATAGCCCCTCACCATATGCTGTGCTGAAATCAAGGGGTGACTATCACATCACTACCGTACACTACCTGCTACTAAAACGCCAAATCGTGGATATAACGGGATGGATTTCCCCGTGTTAAACCGAAAGGCACATGTTGAATTTCCGTGCCGCTGGTTGATCTGCTTGGCGGACTTTGGTTCGTAACCTGAAATCTAACGCGACCGACAACCCAATGTCTCAGTTCCCATTAATAAGACAAACCTTGCCTTTAGTACACCAGGTACCCGAAGCCACTGAGTCGGAAGTGTGTTTCCTATCTATCTATGTAACTTGTTGATGCTCAAATACTATAGTAACTCGAACCGTGAAATCTTGATCATATCAATTTCCAAAACCCCACAGTAAACCGACAAGCACCAGCATCGGCATCGGCATCAGCATTCATCACCGAGTCACGAGAGACAATTTGCACACCGATGCGGGGAAGATGAGATATTGTTGGCACCAGTCCAGTCGAGTCGCCAAACATCACATTATGAGCGGGGTCTGCGATACAAACTTCATACCTATTGAATTCCTTATTGATCAGCGTAACCACATGACCTTGAAACTATGTCCAACACGTGCAATCCTTCGCGTTAGAGACGCCACGGGCATGGTATGGCTTGCTGTTATCATACCATCTCGCCAGGCCTGAGCGTACGCATGGAACCCCCTAGGGTCGATTTTTGATGCCAATCGACAGGTCTTCGATAAATCTGCGCTTTTCTCCAAGTTAATCGGCAGCTACTTGACCAGGTATAATGCAATGCAAGGTAATGTAATGCAATGCGGAGTAGCCACGCGACAACATAAAAGCAGACCTAGAGAGATAGTGCACGATCTTGCTTGGCTGGTATTGTTTGCTGCATTCATCTCATCACCAACATGTGACGAATGAATTTGCGATATGACGATGACCCTCGGACACCTCAGTTGTGATTGCCAAACAGCGTCATGGCTCTGAGCTTCTTCTTTTCATTCATAGCAAGCAAGGTCCAGGATCTCGGGGTTCAAGTCGCGCGACGCGCCTAGGTTAGAACCCACAGCGCGGATGTTTTCCCCATCTGAATACACGGCTCCAGTTTGCTGATCTTTTTAGTATAAGCCGAAATTGGTGATTGTGAGGCACTAATACAACCGTAATGATCTGACAAGAGATACTCTAGTCTATGTGTATAGCACAGGTAACGCTACACTGCTCGCTCATATGTCAAGTATTGGTGTTTCCCTTGCTCCTACCGTAGGATCGAGGCTTACGAGGCAGTTAAGCGCAGCATTCGATGCCTAAAAAGGGCAAATCACTTGTCAATCAAGAGCTGGAGGGGTCGGAACGTGTGTGTGTATGTACTGTAAAGATGCAAAAGTTCTGCAACGGCTCTTGAACATCCTAGCCACTCGATACGTGAGTTCCTGTGCACGAGTCAACGTTAGCTCTTGATGACATGGTTAACACAAAACAACAAGGGCTGGTTTCGTTGCAGCCTCACAGAAAACTGTGGAAATGTGTCTGCAAACTCGACAGCCTTACGATACTACAAGACACTTGAGGTCGATCCTACGCCATTGTTGTTGGGGAAAGGTCCGTGCTGTGAGATTCAAGAGCTGAGCCTGCCGGGTCCCAAGGTTTGTAAATAACACGGAGCACGTCGGGGCGCAATTTTGATACTATGTATCTGGTGTGCCATCGAAATAGAGTTGGTTGGCACTGGTTCCTTGTACCTTGCTGGCTGAATTAGGTATTGTCTCTGGAGTAGATGAGACAGTTCAAAACTCAGGATCAGTCAGAGTGGCATGGTTCTGGGTTCAACCAACGCTGTGTACCTGTGCTAAACCGGCCGTTGCGGCCGTTGAATACAAGGTACGTCATGAATCACTGTCGAAACTTTGATCGTTCGCCTCATCCGTGTCGACGTTCCCGGACGCGAGGAGATGACGGAGAATGATAAGATGAGATGGAAAAATTCTGGGTAGTTACAATATGTGGTGCGTGTCCGTACAGACATCACCCACTTCAACGACAGGGATATTCGGTTGAAGAAGATTGAATTATTACAGACGATCGACAAAATGCTCTAATGGAGATTGACCGACTTCCGTTTGTGAAACAGAAGTCCAGTGGCCGGATTTCCTCAGTATGATGGATGCTGAGCGGTTTCTGCCGGCTTCAAGCTGAACTGGGTGTTCTGAGGATGGGCCGATAGAATCCAGCATCTTGAAGATCTTTGATAAAAGTGGTAGCTTCAGAGAGTAGGCAACAGGTAAAAAACCCTGGATACCATGTTTGCGTTACCCAAATGTCGGGTTTAATCTGTCACGCCCAGCCAGGCGGGGATGCCATGTCCATGATCCTTCTTGGTCGCTGACAAAAGCTGTATTAGGCAGGACTATCACTCGGGTTTTCGCATACCATTGGAAGTTGTGAAGGTAACACACCCAAGTTTTCGTTTCCTAGCCAATCCCTTCTCTGAATATGCTCAAACGGTAGTCGCCATAAACCCAATGTACCTTGTTTCACCGAGTCAACATGCTGGTGTAAACTCCGATATTCTGTACTTGCTCGAATCGTTGCCGAAGCTTGTGTAAGCGAGCTACAAGACGGCTATCCGGCGCGTCCAAGCGATTTGATGTTGATGCTCCTGTTGCCCAGGACCCCAGGCCCTTCACCCACCTGAGCGAGACCATCAATATTCTTGTGCAACCAAGCTGACTGGAACGCTGGTTGACATGCCATCTTGATATAGGTTTAGGGGTTTTAATAAGCTGCACAGGGCACGTATTCCCAGAGAAACAACCCACAGAGGCCATATCTCAGATCTAGTCAATATGTTTCGTACCCTGCCTGGGCTGACAGCTGGCGTGTTTATGCTGATAGAAGAGGAATGCGCCATCATAATCCCACCACTAAGCGTGGCCAATTCAAGTCAGTGCTTTTCCAAGAATTCATTCGCACACCGCAGAGTTTCGGAATAGACCCAGCTTCAAGCACCGACTTATAGAGTCTTCGATATATGCGAAGTTACCGTCGTAATAGGTTGTCTTACGGTGTCTGCATGTGTTGAAATCCGACCACCTTCCGTTATGAGAGGTTCGAATGTTTGTAGTTGTGATGACGGAAGTCGATAGAGCCGTGCTCTAGCCGTTTGACTGAAGCGCTTTCCTGTCATTCGATATCACTATCGGCAAGCTTTCTACGCTTCGAGCGTCCCCGCAAGGCAATGTCATGGTTCCCAATGAACCGAGTATCATCAGTTGGCTCGGGTCCATCATCAGGAACATCTTCTGCACCCTCGGTGAAGACAAGGTGGCCTCGCCGTCCAAGGACCTCCTTCCCAGCCTCCTCGAGCAAGATGCCAAAGGCCAAAAGGGCCGTTTCATCCATGCTTCGGTCAGTGACAGGTTTTGCATCTGTGGCCTGATGATGGCGATTTCTCGCGCTGTAAAATGCGCTGGTATAGGCGTGGATGGCTTTCAAGAGGTCACTCTCTGGCAAAACGCCCTGTCCCCCATGGGGAAGGTCTCGTTCATGGGAGTAGTAGATATCATGCTCCAGGTAACGCTCGGGTGCGTTCTTTCGTCTAAAGAGAACCTCATCGGGGGCTAGAGGGACGTCCTTTGTGGAGTATCTGATGGACTTGGGATGGCGAGGTGTGTACTGAGCTTCCTCTGGTTCTGGGCCGGGTCCCAAGCCGTATGAAACCTTACCTGCTTGATGTGAGCGCAACACTGGATGATCATGAATAGAGGTCTTACCTGCTACGGCATCGTAGATGGTTGCAATTCTTCGTTTAGTTCCCTTGTTTGAATCCTGTCCAGGGGCTGGAATGTCCGGTTCAGAGGACAAGTCTCCTTCATACGTGGGTGTTATGCCCATGCTTTTCTTGGAAATATCCATATTGAAGATAGTATCGTGATAAGATAGAGACAAACTGGAGTTCGGAGGCCACTGTTTTTATACACTCATCAAGTGCACGGATGAGAGTTATTTGCAGGTTGTTTTTGCGAAGAGTGAATTTAGTATAAAATAGAAAGCAAAGTTGACTTGATGAATAAGAACGGCCAATGATCGCCTCAATTTTCTGATGATGTTGAGTTAAGGCTTTTGAAGAAGCAAAGTTTAGACTGTCAACTGTGGGGTCTGGTCAGTGCCAAAAGTTCCATAGCACAAGTGGTCCCTTGAAGAACGTGCCTTCCAGCTGACATCATCAGCTTCCTATGTCAACTACATTCATCCATTCCATTATCTCGTTGGTGCCTACCTAGACTTTTGTTTCCTTAATTTCTAGCAGCTGTACAACCCAAATGAATGCAGTCCAATCTTCTTGCTCGTGAAGTGGGCGACTTTGCCCCCCGAGACTTCAGTCGCTCTATAACCTCTGAACTCCTTCGTTCATTTGCGCCAGCGCCTCAGCATCGCTTCAATGGCGAGAGAACAATAAAGCACGATCCCGCTGGCGTAGATGAGCGTGCGCATAACATCAGAGCTCATGGAGCAGGCGTCAATAGTATCGCTTTAGAGAGATTCGACGGCCGTATCCTTCTGTCAGGTGGTGCAGAAGGAGGCATCAAAGTATGGGATCTTGAAGCTGGCGGGAACCCTCACAAGCTACACACTTTTCGTCCCGTGAGCAGCATCGCGAGGTCTACAAGGGATGAGAACTCGCACGGACATAGCCATGGTATCACGCATGTTGCCTTCTACCCTTTTGACCCTGACGCTTTCCTCTCGAGTTCCTACGATAAGAAGTTGAAGCTTTGGGCTACACAGCGCTGTGCCCTTTCAGCCACGTTCGATCTCAACGCAACGATATACTCGCATTCCACAAGTCCTGTAGCAGACCATCTAATCGTCGCATGCGCCACACAGAACTCAGCAGTTCGACTCGTCGACTTGAAGTCTGGATCAGCTGTACAAGCTCTTGTAGCACATGGTGGTCCTGTATTATCAACGGCATGGAGCCCACAGCATGAGCACATTCTTGTGAGTGGACATGCAGATGGAAAAGCTCGTATCTGGGATATACGACGGGCTGGAGGCGTTGTCGCATTATTGGATCAGGAAGATTCCCTGGGGATTGTTCATAAAATGAAGCATCTCAGTGCGGCAGGCATGGACTCTAATCAGATCCCACACTTTCGCGCTTCTGCACAGGCACATGATGACGCCGTAAACGGTCTACAATGGACAGATGATGGGAAGTATATCATATCAGCGGGCCTTGACCGTCGTATTCGCGTCTGGGACGCAGCCACGGGGGCCAATACTCTTGCAAGCTTTGGCTCTTTGATCCAGAACCAGCACGCAAAGACGGCAAGCATTCTGGTAACCCCAACTCATCTTTCTGCAGGAAACAACCTTGTGTTTTGGCCAAACGACCAAGAAATTCTTATCCTTGATCTTCACGACGGCAATATTGTGACGCGGCTCCGAAGTCCGGGCGTGACCAACCCTGTAGACCCACGAGGTAGCGAGATGGGCAGAAATAGAATCACGAGTATGGCTTGGCGTTCATCTGGCGGGACTGGGTTTCCTGTTGGACCTGTCATGGGTGGTGGGAACTCGATCGGAGCTGTTTATAGTGCTCACATGGATGGGCAGATCCGGGCTTGGGCACCTCAAGTGCCTGGTCCTGAGGATGTTGCTGAAGAGGACGAAGTACAAGAAGATGAGGAAGTGAAGCAGAGGAAGAGAAAGGCTGTCGATGACGCGTATAAGAGTCTCATGGGCAAGAAGATTACATTTACTTAGAACAGAACATAGAATCTTATTCTTGGACAGTCAGACATGCCAACGTCAACTACTGATTGTTTTGTGACGTCGAAGTCAAGATCTAATAAGAAACAAGGAGAAATTCGTAGGCCACGGTCTTTATGCTGCTAATAAATGGACAAAGCCTCCTCCTAAACGCCATCCGTACGCCCTGCTATGATAACGAGCCCGCTCGCATCACAAAACAATAACGACTAGACATAGCCACCCGTCAGGGTAGGCAGCTTCGCGCATCAACTCCTCGAGAGGTGCGTCAAACGGCACGCCAGCTCCATGCATCACTGCCTTTGCGAGAATAGGATCCCGACTGCTTGGGAACAGCCCCGGCAGCACCTCTTTCAGTGCTTGGCCTAGGAGCTTAGGGCGACGGTCCGAGCCAGTCGCTGTGACGAGGGATTGGATGACTTTAAAGGTGGCATGTTCTGGATGCGTTGCCGACGATTGTGGTCCGCTGGTAGGGACATATACGCGGACAGGGACATGTTTGAGTGCTGTGGGTGCGTTGAGAAGACGACTGTTGATGCGGTTGTAAGAAGCGTGGTCATTATCTATAACCGCGTTCCACAGTTGAGTGGTGTTTTCTTTCGACATCTTCATGATTTGATTTGCGTTGCCATTTCGAATGAAGTCCGCCTAGGAGAGTCAGCTTGTGGTGAATAAAGCATCCAGGCGCTGATATGGGTCTAGGAAATCCACTGCCCGAATATTCAAATATTCGTTTCTGCTTACCTCCTTTACACAGTTTAGGAACGTATCTGCAATATCCCAACCCACTCCATCATTTACAGTCAACCTCCATGGTAAACTAGGCTGATACAGATCAACCAACAATCCTACGGCCAGGTTCCTCAACTGAACATCTTCAAAATGGAAGCTAGAACAGGGCGAGTTGAAAAAAGTCGATAGCCTGGGTATCAATAGGGCCAAGTAGCTGAAGCGTGGAATGCTGGTGATGAAAGGCGTGGTCGGTGAAGCGGGGTGAGTAATGTGCAGGGGGATCTGGGCGCTCCAAAGAGCTTGTGGAATGGGAGAAGACATCACAGCAAGGGCATGATGGAGGTTAAGAATTGACTGGTGGGCTTTGTCAGATGACAGCTGAGTGAGGCACGTCGTGATACCTGGTAAGGCTGCAATCTTGAGGTACCAAAGTTTAGGGTAGGATCAGTTGCTGTGATTAGGTAATAATCATTGTATAGCATATGCTTAGATGTATACATAGTATAAACTTTTTCTTCACGATATGATGTAAGTAATACACTTTGTAACAAGAGAGTTTGCCCCATCAATAAGGATTTACTATCTCGAAATGTAGTTGCATGGTCAAATGTTGAGTTTCTGTTATGTCCCTTGCGAAGGATAAGCAAACACCTAACAAACTCGCTCCGCCGGACAGTGAGACGATCGTAGTGCAGGTAATTTATATTACTAAAATGCTGTTATCTCTAAGATAATAAGATAATTGACTAGGCTCTTCAATACTACCCAATACGAGGCAGAGGCAATACGCTCAGACGATTTTTTCATTCGGTACTGCACCCAACAGTTGCTTTGACACTCGATGCTACAACAACATGCATGAAGTTCATCTTCAGTGTCACCTCGTCATGAACAACAAATCATTCAGATTTGTAAGAAAAAGCAAGCTTTCCGTCAAGTTTGTACATTGTTGCATCATTCGTAGTTTACTGATGGTTGTGTGCCTGAGCGCTGCTTGTCTTTGACCGATTGACTGCAAACTCTCTGATAGCCATCCATGATAGTTCGTCGTCAGCCTAGAGATCCATCATGAAACTAGGTAGACGAAAATGCCAAAGTTTTGTTAAGTTATCAAGATTCTGGTTTTTATCAAGGAATGTCCAGTGCTGTGAGTCAAAAGCCTTGGACGATGTAAGAGGCTCAAGGGTAGTCTACTTGGCAAAGGTGCGTGGCATGAATGACTGCCATCTAAGTCGGCATCTCGGCATCTGCCGCTATGATTCTCCCAAGACAAACCAAAGACACTTAATTGTCCAGTCATTTAGATCATGCTCCTTGGCTTGCGACATGATTTTGTATGTTTCAGACCGCAATGAAGGGTCCTTGTCTTGGACGGCAATGCAATGTGAATCTGCCGAATGGCAGTTGTTTCTACTCACCACACCTTGCACTGAGACCTGGTCCGAATGACCTCATCTGGCAATTTATTGCACTGATGACCTGTCATGAGCCACGGTAGACGTGTCAAAGAGCTTCAAAGCCAAGACAACCGTCTCAAACAGGCTTCATCTGGGGATTATGTTGAGAGAGGGTCGTCATTGTCATGTGGCGTAGAGGCTCACAAGCTGTATTGAGAGTTGGTGATAAATAACCAGCACGATTCCTGGGTAGTTTGAATATGGAAAGGAGCATCCTCAATAATATCAGGTCAAGAACCACACATCACTTCACAATAACCAACAACCAATAAAGCTGTATCGCTAGCCATGGCTCTCGATCGTGTTGTCAGCTTAATCCTGCGCGTAGCAGAGCTGGTCTTTGCAGCCATCGTCGCTGGTGTCAACGGTGAATATCTTCACAATGCCCGTGGCGCAAGCTCATGGCAACTCGGACGCTTCATTTACACCGAGGTCGTTGCCGCGCTGGGCATACTGTTTTCCTTACTGCTCCTGATTCCCTTCTCGAGCACATTTGTGCACTGGCCTCTGGACATCTTCATGTCCATCAACTGGTGGATTGTCTTTGGCCTTCTTGTTGATGTAAGTCACAACCCTGATTGCGGTTTCGGCAGTTGGGCATGCACTAACGGCATTCAATAGCTTGTTGGAACCTCATGTGGCCGTGTCTTTGACTGGGACAATGTTCACCCAGTGCATGGAGACCAATGTGGAAAGACAAAGGCTGTCATCGCCTTCAGCTTTCTTTCAGCTCTTCTGTGGCTTGTGTCTGCCATTGTCGGCTTCTTCTGGGTTAGAAAGCGAGAGCGCACTGCACGAAGAGCTGAGGAAGCCCACCACAACCGCCGTCGAGGTCCTTGGTTCCGCAGCAGAGTTTAAGTCTAACCAACTTAAGTCTTACTCAAGTGTTGGACTAAGCACGACAGCTGACAAGACAAGACACACCCAAGTCTGACTACATTGCAGTAGTCTGGTCTGTCTGACTGAAGCTTTACGTACCCGCTGAAGAACTTTCCAAAAGACTTAAGTTAGCGGTGATTTGAGTTGGCTACATGATTGGATTGCGTGAAACATTCCGAAATGCCGTGCCTGGGTGGGAACTAATGCATAATATGATGGACGGTTTCCTTGTTTTTTTCTTCTTTCTTTTGTTAGTCCTAGGTATTTCTGTCTGAGCCGATACTTGGCGTTGAACAACGCGGATTGGATTGGATCGGACTGGGCTGGATTGGGTTGGACTGGAGTAGGTTTAGGATTAGGATAAGGATACCAAGGGTTTGATACGAATAATTGTCATGACTACTGTACGTATACTCGTTCTAGTTTAGTCTTTGCCTAAATTAATGGATACATGGAAACCACATGGATACTGTCTGACTGTAGCCACTGTACACTCGTTACTATGCGTGTCTTGAATGTTTACTATATTTATCTCGCCAATCGATCAACGTGGGTATTTCCTTTCTTCAATCCAGAACTGCACGGGCACGTATGAAATTGGAAACTTGTATGTAATGCTGAAACCTCTCTTGCATTTTCTAGGACGACGTCATGCGTACGAATTCAGAGCATATCTCCAACATGAAACAACGGGGCTCAATGTCATGATCTGCAAAGTATAACGGAACCAGAATCAAATTCGGTTTATCAAATGTCCATCATTCCACGCTATTCATTAGAACCAGAAGAACCAAGATTCCCATTCATGCCGTGCTGACGATGAAGTGAACTACTGTACAGTAGGTACTGTACGGATATGTAGCTAAACTAGACTTGAGCGGTCTGTGTCTGTCCTTTGCCTGCCATGAGTGAGGTGAGACTTGATCACGCTTCTCAAGCCTGGCCCAACTTGGTCTGATCAGCTTCTGACCTGACTATCATACAAAAATTCCGTCTTGTTCCCATGATCATCGAGATCTACGGCTACGATTGAGACCAGAACAAGCCGCTTCCCGTTTGCCGGCGCAGGGGCAGGGGCAGTCTTACGCGTCGACAGCAAACATCGCATCGCATCGACAGTATCCGTAGGTACAGTAACTCACAGTAGCTTTGCGCATCTCTTACAGGGGAGTGCAATATTTTCCGCCTCTGTGATACCTCGTGACCCTGCTTTTTTGCCCGTACTACACAGGTCTAGAACAACCTCAGCATGTCTTGGCCCGCCGGCTGTAATAAAAATGTTGTCATAAGCCGCTATCATGCCCTTTCCCTTCTTTGTTCTCCTATCCGGGCCTGGCCTGGCCTGGCAAAACATGGACATGGATGCTCGGTCGGAAAAAACGGCCACTATCTTGGCGTCATTTTGACTGCACTGCCCTGCCTTGGTTTGGATCGGATCCAAAAGTGGCTGGTGGAGCTTGGAAGAACCTATTGATGGCTGAAAGACGAGGTACGAAAGTAGGTTGCCAACTTTGAACTCTACAAGCGCGGGGTAGCTTGGTTTCGGAACTGGAAATTAGCGGGGGACAGCCCTGTACTGACAGAAAACATGGACCCAGCTCTCGCTATAATCGGCGCTAGAGGACCTCTGAATCTTGCATTTTTTGTCCTCTTCCAGGGTAGCTGACGCCACCTTGGCCACAATACCCAACGGGCCACTCGCCACACATCACTCCTCTCTGTAGATCGCTCTTTCAGCCACGGAGCCTCCTCGTCATCCCTCTTACAATCCCGTCTCCTGCTCCACAACAACCACCTTGGCGCTGCTGGAAGAGCAGGACTCAGTGCTTGTTCCTCTTCGCAAGGATACTTGATACCTTCTGCCCTACAAATCGTCAACGTCATTTCTCGCGTGGCATGACGCTAGATTGTCCCTGGCTGATATGCCATCTCCAACAACCAATCGCCGTCCAAGCTCAGAAGCTTGAAGCCAGAGCCTAGACTTCTCCAACGATCGGGGTAATATGCTATGACGCAAAATGAGGTGTCTCTTGGCCTTGGGAGACGAGACGTGAGATGAGTATGGCAAGAGCTTGTGTTTGGCCTTGCGGGTTTGCGAATCAAGCCTGCTGCCCAGTTTGTTGCTGATGAAGACATCGAGATGCAAGCTGCCAGGATGCCTCTTCTCAACTATATAAGATATACAATATCCCACCTCGAAGTAAACTTTTCCTCCTCATCATAAACAACAACAACTTTCAAGATACCCACAAGCATCTGAACTTTCAGCTCAACTACCTTCATCCATCTACAAGATACCCAAACACTTTTACAACAACTACACCATAAACAACTATCATCATGTCTGGTCTCATCAACAAGGTCAAGGAAGCTATCCACTCCGACAAGGATAAGCACAACGACTCTCACACCACTGACTCTCACACCACTGGCTCTCACACCACTGGCACCCACACCGCTGGCACTCACGACTCTCGCACTTCTGGTCTTCCTGAGGGTACCGCCGGCCCCCACGGCAGCCGTGCTGCCAACGCTGCCGACCCCCGTGTCGACTCTGACCTCGACAGCTCTCGCCGAACTGGTGCTACCGGAACCACCGGTGGTCTTGGTTCAACCGGCCACACTGCTGGTGGCATCGGCTCTACCGGCGGCATGACCGGTACTCACTCTTCCGGCATGACTGGCACTCACTCTTCCGGCCTTCCTGAGGGAACCGCTGGCCCTCACGGCAGCCGTGCTGCCAACGCTGCCGATCCCCGTGTCGACTCTGACCTCGACAGCTCTCGCCGAACTGGTGCTACCGGAACCACCGGTGGTCTTGGCTCAACCGGTCACACTGCTGGTGGCATTGGCTCTACCGGCCACACTGCTGGTGGTATCGGCTCTACCGGCCACACTGCTGGTGGTATCGGCTCCACCGGCGGAATGACCGGCACTCACTCTGAGAACATGCCCGGACGTACTGCTGGTATGACCGGCACCGGCATGCACGGTACTCACTCCGAGAACATGCCCGGACACTCTACTGGACTTGGCTCTACCGGCGGCATGACCGGTACTCACTCTTCCGGCATGACTGGCACTCACTCTTCCGGCCTCCCCGAGGGAACTGCCGGCCCTCACGGCAGCCGTGCTGCTAACGCCGCTGACCCCCGTGTTGACTCTGACCTCGACAGCTCTCGCCGCACTGGTGGTCTTGGTGGCAGCGCCTACGACCAGACCACTACTGGAACTTCTGGCCTGTCCAGCCACGGCGCCGGTGCTCACGGCCCTACCGGCACTCACTCCTCTGGCCTGAGCGGTACCAACACTGGTGCCCACATGGGAGAGAACACTGCCTACGGCACCAACAACCCCGGACCTGCTCCCAAGACTGCCGGTCCTCACAAGTCTGACATGCTTAACAAGGCCGATCCTCGTGTCGACTCCAACCTTGACGGCAGCAAGACTGTCGGAAAGGAGAAGACCTTCGAGACTTCGTAAGTCTCCCTCGACAACCTCGAATGAAACCTATTTCTCACCATCGACATCACAGCGACTTTTCTGGCCGAGACCCCACCGATGCCACTCAGGTCCCCCCTTCTGTCATGCAGAAGCACGTTCCTACTGAGATTGCTCACGACAACCCTGAGTCTGACCACAGCCGACGACACAGCAGCGTCAACCAGGAGCATCACCGTGGTCTGTAAATGGGGGGAAATGGGATTAATGACAGTTAATGGACATGTATAGCCACATTTCTTTAATGAATATTAATGAAGTATTTTCTATTAAAAACTGCATTCGCTTGCGTGACCAAATGACTTTGCTTTTCCATGTGATTGTTAATTACGTAGCTACCTGGCTGCTGGCTGTATCAAAAGCTGACAATTTCTTTTCTTGCAACTCTTAACTTTAGTCGGGCGAGAGAAAAACAAGGTTAAAGCAGCATTAAATAGCACATACTACTCGTTCACTTTCCTATCAAGTTGATTTCTAATAATGTCACTAGATAAATAATGTCACTAGATATACACAAGTGTGACTACTGATCTGACTTGTCCTGGCACATTGCAAGTCCTGGCACTCTATGTAAAGTTCTTTCAAAGACGGATGCTTCGAGAAGAATATGCTGACGGATGCTTCGTTCAGGGATCTTGGAGTTCGTCTCTGAACGCATCTGATGGGTTGCCATCTCTATTCTGGGATTTCATGCTTCAAGTGACCTTGCCTCTACCTGGCTGCTGGGTCAGGATCAATGTTTATCTTCATACTTAAGATATTGAGCAAATTCGCAAGCTGTCTTCCGTAAGGAAGCTTGGTGAAACTCATTCAGCATACCTACTCGGCCTCAAAGCCTACAAACGCAACGCAGATGATGTCAATGAGAGTATTGGCGCATGCTAAGAGGTGTTGACAATTCGCAGAAATAGCCGACCTGTCCACCAGGTCCGTCGCTACAACATATCTACGAGTAGGACAACTTCTAAAGAGTGTTTTTGCTGTTTCGGCCAGAGTGGTCGAGCTTCGTTTGAGCTTCGTCGGCCCCGTGGCTATTCACAACAGTGACATCCTTCACTCAATGTGCCGCTTGGGTACAGAATTGCCAGTATAAGAACTTATCTAAGAAGCTGCCTAGAAGTGGATACACCGTCTCCCGCCAGATAAGGACAGCAAAGAGGCTCAGTACCAGTCTAAGAAATACAGTGCATCAAAGTGATCACACAGCATTAGAACATCACCGCTGTGGCAGCTTGCAGGTCAGTCTGAGTGAGAATACCGCCGCGGCGAGATGCCGTGAAACTGGAGGGGTGATACACAAAACCTGGGTCTATCTCTGACTGATACCGGCGATAATATCGCAGCTACCAACTCGGGCGAGAATGGAACTCCTCAGCTACTGAGAATTATGAACTAGATAGCAATTACAAAGGCCAGTAGATCTGAGACCATGAGCTGCAATATGTACTGCCATCCGATACGCGGAGGATGAAGTTGAAGGTAGGTAGATAACTACATCGATCCCTCATGCCAAGAGCATGCCTTGACTTTATCACCGGGAGAAATTGAACGTCAGTATCCATTGGACGATACAGCCAGTCTTTCGACATCTGACTTATTTAGAAGGCGCTACCATCGTTTGTTGGGAGTGAGCTGTCCAACCTCTGGTTCAAGATCAGATCGAGGAGTGTCTAGGGGGCGTCATAGTATTAGGAAGATTAGCTACAAAGAGCATGAAAAATAAACTTGTTTAGATACACAGGTCTCGTAAACCCAAGAGTGATATTTTTGTCGTCATGTACATACCTAGGTAGGTAGGTACTAAGGTAAAATGTTGATTCTCGACAGGCACCTAAAGAGTCATGCTTTCACGAGAGCACGCAATAACATCCAATCTACGACCCCGTAACTACTTACATACTCATGGAAAGACAGCATTATGCATTGACGTGTATTTGTAATCGCATTACTTCCACTTCATAGCCAAAACGTAACTCAATTCATCTCTTCTGAGCTTCAGAATAACAAACACGAATAGCATACCTATTATCTTATGCCCTTGACCGTCCAGTTCCAGTCTGATACACTGATGCCCCTTTGGGACGAATGCGGCTTCCGGCGCTTGTTTCGTGGCGTTGGTGGAGGGGTGCCTAGGTGCTTCTTACCTATTGAGTGACGTTGACGTCATACGCAGGTAGCAGCTGGCAGCTGCTCGCACTCGCGCGTCAGTGTCACTGCCCAAGAGAAGAGCGCTGAAGATTATGACATCACTTGCATCGCGATTGCGAATGCTTCCTTCCTGTCACGATGGACTTCCTCAAAGTCATTATAAAGTCTCCCTCTCCCCTCTCTTCTGCACAACCTCAGTCTTCATCCATCAACATCACCCTGATCAAACCAAAACACCATAAACACTTTCAACCTACACACAAACCAGCCACAAAACACCTTCACAATGTCTGACCAGCCCCAGCCTTCCACTCTCAAGTCCTTCGTCGACTCCACCACCGGTGCTGTCCAGAACGCTATTGGCAGTCTCACCGGCAACACCAGCGACCAGGCTGCTGGCGATCTCAAGAAGGAGAAGGCCGAGGCCGAGCACGATGCTTCTCACGCTACCGCTAAGCTTCCCGGTGCCACCATCTCTGGCTCTGGCGCCGCCGCCAAGGATGACCCCAACCGCAGCGAGGGTTCTTGGAACCAGACTGCTGGATCCGCTAAGGAGACCATTGGAGGTCTTATCGGCAACGAGGTAAGTTGACGAAATCTATATTGACTGATAATTTCTAATGTTTCATAATCATAGAGCCTGAAGCAGCAAGGCCGTGAGCAGAACCTCGAGGGACGCAACCAGGAGGCCAAGGGTCAGCTCAGCGACTTGGGTTCCGGCATTGGCGAGCGTGTTCAAGGCACTGTTGGAGGCGCCGTCTCCAACCTCACTGGTGACAAGGCGAAGGAGGCTCACTACGACGAGCTCCGTGCCGAGGGCAAGACTCGCCAGCGTGGTGTTGAGCACGATGTTCAGAAGCAGGCCGAGGCTGAGCACCGCGGTTAAAGAACGCAGTTTAGGTGGAACATGAGAGATGACGAAACATGATACCCCATGGTTGACCTGGACGGATCCAGGAGATCCCACTGATTGATAGTCCTAATAAACATTATACATCTTTACATTTGCTTCTAATTTGTGGTGGTCCTCAGGTGCGTGACAGAAGTAATGTCCTCAGAGGCTGAGACTGGAAAAGAATGCAGCCTAAACGCCAGTCTAAGATCGCATGGAGTGGCCAAATTGTTTCGTGTTTTGTGTTCTCAGCGGCCAATTCTTCTGATACCGCGACGTCTGCTGACGCTCAAGTATTGAAAACTAGTAGCTAGTCATTGACTTCTGATGTTGCTAGTTTTGCTGTTCGTGGTGTGTAAGGGCTTATGATGGCAGTGCAGGTGGCTGGCTGTTTGATAGCTGTGTTCCGCTTTAGCTTGTAGGCAGAATAGCTCTTTGTGGTAATGCCGGCATCTTGTGATTCTCTGTTTACTCCATGGATGCTGGAGCAAATAACCTTGTGATCTAGAAACGAATGATGGGTACCAGTTCGTCATAATGGGGTATCTAACGGCGGCATCAAGATGGGATTTGAAGCTCATCATCATTATCAAAAGAGTTCCTTGGCGGCATGTGATGCTCGCTACCTGCGTGTGTTACAGATGAACAAAGATGGATGGTTACACGACAGACACAGAGATATCACGTATTGCCTTGGAATATAAATCATCAACTGTGCTGCCATAATGAATGGTTATGTTATTGTGTGCTACTGCCCTTTGATCTCAACTCGGATCATTTGTTTCCAATAGGCAAAGCACGTTCCCAATGTTTGGGACATGTGAAATAGGCGCCTGTTTGTCCGCCTTTTGAACCAGAAACCCAGAAATTGCAAGTTCCTCTGACCAATGACTCCTTATGTTCATCCTCAAAATTTAAAGAAAGAGGTATCTCTGATATTACAGTATGCTATACAGACACGGCTGAGCCTCGCTGCAGCCGGCCATCGTCATTAACGTCCTTGATATACATCCCATGCCTGACACTGGCCAGAACAAGGTGGGGTAAGCGTAAGAGTCATCATCTTCATTACAGGATAGCCTAATGTTGGCTCCACTGAATGGTATCGAGGTCAATGCCCTCCTGTACAAGCTCCCATAGAGGGCTCAGCTCTCGCAAGAAGGTAACCCGCTCTTGCACCGCCTTTAGGACGTAATCAATCTCCGCCTCAGTTGTGAAGCGACCGATACCGAATCGGATACTGCTGTGAGCGCTCTCGTCACTGTTGCCAAGAGCACGTAAAACGTAGCTAGGCTCTAATGAGGCAGAAGTACAGGCACTGCCTGAGGACAAAGCGATATCCTTGAGAGCCATCAGGAGCGATTCTCCCTCGACGTAAGCAAAAGAGACGTTAACGCAGCCAGGATAGAACGAATCGGGAGCTCCATTCTGTGTTGTATGCTCCATTGTCAAAAGGCCGTTGAGCAGACGGTCTGAGAGGTACTTGATACGGTTTGTATCGTACTGTAGATTGGTCAGCGTCGTGTTTAGTTTAAAACATGAGAAGAAACAATGTTTGAGTGAGGTAATAAATCAGACAGAAGCTTCGATCAACACGGCCGGCCTTGTCACAGGCCATTCAGAAAGCCATGCATGTGTAGAGCAGCTCATCATATAAAACAGGGAAACGTAGAAAACAAATAAGGGAGTACTCACAGACATCTCCTCCTTGGCGATGCGACAAGCTTCGCCAAAGCCAGCAACGAGTGACGGAGCAAGAGTTCCACTTCGAAGACCTCTCTCCTGACCACCGCCGGTAATAAGAGGATCCAATCTGACCCTAGGACGTCTTCGGACGTAACAGGCGCCAATACCCTTGGGGCCGTAAATCTTATGTGATGAAATAGACATCAAGTCAATGTTCATGGCATTGACGTCGAGGGGGATCTTGCCAACAGCCTGGGCAGCATCAGTGTGGAAGAAGATCTTCTTTGATCGACACAGCTTGCCGATCTGCTCAATGGGCTGAATAACACCAATCTCGTTGTTGACAGTCATAACACTGACAAGAGCAGTATCGGGTCGGATAGCAGCCTCGAGATCCTCCATCTTAACGAGACCATTGTTCTGTACAGGCAGATATGTCACATCGAAACCCTCGTCCTGAAGGTGACGGCAGCTATCGAGTACACACTTGTGCTCAGTCTGTGTTGTGATAATGTGCTTCTTCTTGCCAGAACGGCCAAAGAAACGAGCGACTCCCTTGATGCTCATATTGTTACTCTCGGTTGCACCGCTAGTGAAGATGATCTCTTTCGAGTCAGCGCCAATGAGGTTAGCGATGTGCTCACGCGCATCCTCCACAGCCTTCTCGCTCTCCCAGCCGTAGGCATGTGTCCGCGAATGAGGGTTGCCGAAGACGCCGACGTAGAAAGGCATCATAGCATCGAGGACTCGAGGATCGACAGGTGTGGTAGCCTGCATATCAAGGTAAATAGGGCGCTGGCCTTCTTCCATAACTGCTGCTTGCTTCAAGACCTCTAAATGGGGAAATTAGTATCTGTATAAAAAAATGTCGCTATGCCGCGAAAGCTGAAAATATGCACTTACCAGCCATTGGGCTAACCTTGGCATTGGAGGGAGTATCAGGGGGGGGAATATCGGCAAAGGCCTTCTTATCAAGCTTAATGGCCGTCTCAACCTGAGCGTTATCCCTCTTGGTCTCGGAAACGTATCCTCGTCGTGATGTTCGCCTCGCCACAGCAGCTGCGCGAGCCATGCCTCGTAGAGGGGCTACAGTAACACGAGAGCCTGAGCTCAAGCTGACTCGGCCTGCCGAGCGCAGGGCGCAGGATGCGATTTTAGAAGACATGATGGACGGAAATCAATTCCTGACAGATGCAAGAACGATGAAAGAACGTCGAGCGAAGCCAGCGGGAGCAGAGGAGAAGAAGTGAAATCTGGTGGAGACTTTTGAGCTCCATATCCAGAATTTGTCATTAGCTTTGGTCGGCTCGGCACTCGGTGATAAGCCTCCGGTAAATTCTATACGGTGATTCGCCTAAAAAGCCGGGGATGCCCTCTTTAGGTCTTAGGTTACGGCGGACGGCAAACCGAGCCGCTGGGTGAGGAGAAGAGAATGAGATGGAAATGTCATCAATTTGTCGTGGCGAGGAGCTGTAAAATGCTCAATTTGAAGGATGGAATTTTTATTGTCCTAGTAGGGTTGAGTTTGCAAGCATAACAAAAAAAGTTATTCTGCATGGATCTAGGTATCCTTGACTTTAGGCTTCCTCCTTCGAAAGCTCTTTCTGGGGCTTCAAACTTTGATGCTTTCCTATGGTAGGTATAATCAAAGCAGTGGTCCTAGGCCATGGGTATTTTGTGCATCGTCCTTTTTGCTCTCTATCCCGTTCTCTTTTGCTCACATGTAAGCCCATGCTCCAGAGAAGATGTCTGTGGTGGCAGTGAGCGGCCTGGGTGAGATCGATCCCAGGAAGCTACCTGTTCAGTGACGCAACTATCATGACGCAGCGCTGTGGCTACCGCACTTATCACTTCACAGTACTGCACAAAGTCGCCTGTGGGCAGCATCAGTCAAAAGCTTCCATCCTTTGCACAATCATCTTGAAACCCAATAGATCAACATTCAGAGAGAGGAAAAACTCAGTGACACGAGTTTCAAAAAGTAGAAACGCTAATCTAATCATATTTACTATTACACCTCAAACCACTCTCCCTTATTAGGTGTCTCGTTTATTTGTTCAACCACCTGATAGCCACAGTTCCATCGGTATCCGGCAGTCTTGGCAACAAGGCATAGCAGGCTGGGCAGCAAAAAAAGGACAAGACGACCTAGCAGCTAAAACACAGCCACACAAGTGGACGTCACCGTTGCACGACTCAAGTCATTGTCTTTGTCTTTAATTGACCTGGATAAGTTACCTTCTCGTCCAACTTTGGCGGCCTCGCGAACTGAGGGTTTTCGCGATCTCGACTCCTCTTCCACCAGCATATCGACTCCGCTCTTGGTACTACATCTATAGCACAGTAACTATTGCCTTGCTCTCACCATGAGCTTTAAAGGCTTCCAAAAGAGCCTCACCCGGGTAAGCCGTGCCCCTCACTTGTTTGTTGTCAGGTCTGCAACTTGTCTGGCGCGCACGAATCGACATTCTCGCGCGCGACTGAATAGCCGAGACACGTCAGGATCATCAAATACGCCCAACAAAGTACTGACACCTCTTGCTCTTCCAGGCGCCGCAACAATTTAAATCAAAGTTCAATATCGGCGAACATACCAAAGATGCTGTCTATATCGATGCCGAACGACGCTTCCAGGAACTCGAGACTGAGACCAAAAAGCTCCACGATGAGTCCAAAAAGTACTTCGAGTCCATCAATGGCATGCTCTCACATCAGATCGAGTTTAGTCAGGCCATGACTGAAGTCTACAAGCCAATCTCTGGTCGCATGTCTGATCCCGACTCGATAAAGTTCGAAGGAAACCCCGAAGGTATCCGTGCCTGCGAAGAATATGAAGCTGTTGTCAAGGACTTGCAAGAAACGTTGGCCCCTGAGTTGGAGATGATAGAGTCTAGGATTATCCGTCCCGCCAACGAGTTGCTCGATGTCATCAAGGTGATACGCAAGTCCGCACTCAAGCGTGAACATAAGCGACTGGATTACGACCGACACCGCACGACCCTCAAGAAGCTACAGGACAAGAAAGAACGCACTGCTAAGGACGAGAAGGCAATGTGGAAGGCCGAGGGAGATGTCGAGCAAGCTACCCAGGAGTTTAACTACTTTAACGATCTCCTCAAGGATGAGCTGCCGAAGCTTTTCCAACTGGAGCGCGAATTCATCCAGCCTCTGTTCCAATCGTTCTATTACATGCAACTCAACATCTTCTACACTCTACACGAGAAGATGCAAAATTGCGATATTGGTTACTTTGATCTGACACTCGATATCGAGGACGCTTTCCACGAGAAGCGCGGTGATATTCAGGAGCAAACTGAAGCGCTGTCCATCTGCCGCTTCAAGACGACTGGTCGCCCACGTCCTGTACGATACGGAGCAAAGCCCGCTCTCGAAGGCCCCAAGCAGCCTGCCCTCCTCACACAGGGCGGCGAAGACTCCAAGCCTTCAAGCAGCACTGTAACCAGCCCCAAAATCGGCGGCTGGCAGCGCCCAGCTTCGACTGCGAACGGCTCGGCGGCTCCTCCTCCTTACACTCCCCCAACAGGAGCCAATGCCGGCTTGGCAGCCATTGCTGCCGGCAAGAAGAAGCCCCCGCCACCCAAGCCCAAGCCCAAACCTATGCGCTTGACAGCCCCGGGAGTGGAGACTGTCACGGCTCTCTACGATTATGCTGCGCAAGCCGAGGGTGATTTAAGTTTCCGAACCGGGGACGTTATTGAGATCGTTACAAGAACGCAGAACGAAAACGAGTGGTGGGTTGGACGTCTGCAAGGCAAAGAGGGCCAGTTCCCAGGTAGGTGCTTAAATATCCGACAATTTTGGCCCCTAAACTAACGGATGAAAGGCAACTATGTTCAACTCAACAGTTGAAAGGACTCTCGTTGCATTGGACATGGCGATAGCTGAAACTGCGGTACCATTTTTACCGTCTCAATACCATGGCATGAAGCAAACCATCTCACCACAACCCGCTCACGATAGACGCTCGTAATTTTAAGGGGCTACATCGCATGGATGGACCTTCCGGGGGGTATGGCGCATGATGTGTAGCGAAGCATAGGAGCTCAAGTGGGATAGACGGGGCGACAAATCATCCCGCTCACTTGAGGTCCGGAAAGGAGAACCTAGATCCCTTCAATTCTGGAGATACAAGAAGCTTGTGTGGCTAAAGAGACGGGGCATTTCTGGCGTTATGGATAAGGTTTTTGCTTGCCGGAAGCAGATTATACAATTATTACTATTATTCTAACCGACTTTATCTTGGTGAAGTCCTAGATGGGCCTTGTTTGTCCATAACAGCTGATCAGTCTGCATAAGTAGGCATGAGTGTCCATTTCATTTCCATTTAGAGAACGATCCAATGTGAGCAACACAACATGCTTGCTTAATCCACCAAGCTAGTACATCAAGCGGTCAGGCTCGGAGCCTGATTTCATTGAAAGGCGTGTAAAACAGACTTTTGATGAGGCTCAAAATGCGGGGATCTATCAGGGGATCTCAACAAACCCCACGGCGTAGCTTACATCCACACCACCATTTCCAGTACTGTACTGCAACATGGAAGCCCCCCGAGCCTACATGCATCATTCAATTGGCCAATTTGCTCAAGTCTGCAAAGAGAATGCCAGGGCATCGTAGCCTGGTCGAAACTAATGTGAGCCAACTGAAGGAGTTATATCTCATACAAGGCAATAACAATGCATCCAGTAGCACAGAACCTTGGACGAAATCCTGGGAAGGAGCTACCAAGTTACCGACCTACTAACCCTCCCGTCCCCATAGCTGCTTCAATGGAACAATGGAATGGGCAGGTGCAACATGCGTAACCCCAGCCTGTTCTTGATTCTTACACCAACTCGATAATCCCATGATTTCAAGATCCTGCGTACCAAGCACAGACTTTGTGGGAATGATGATTGTTCTCTATACCTGTCAGGTTTCCACGCGGCCACACACTTCTTAGCTCCATGCATCAACGGAAGAGCCTCATAAAACCCTGGTGCCGCCCAATTTTCACAACAACCTGATTGCTCTTCTGGCTAGTTCAAATCAAATAGAGACATGGGGCCGTCTTGTCTGATTGCGTGCTCCCGCGGGGTGCCGTTACGAGACAAGGCTCCGCGAGTTTGGCTTTGAGGCTCTGCTCGCTTTCACCCCCCAGAGAAGGTTTAATAGTGCCCTTGGCCTCTCGGAATAGCATCATGCTCGACACATACCAGCCTCCCAATTCTTTGGTGAATATGATTGCGCGATACTTTGCCAAACTACGTCTCCTTTCCCTGTCTGCTGCTTCGTCATGAGTCTTCTGAAATTGCCTGTCGAGATTGTCTCACTCCTCGTTGAGTTACTCGATGTTGAAGATGTCTTCAATATGGCGTTAAGCTGCCGCTTCCTCAGCTGCATTCTATACGATAGACGAATGTGTCGACTTGCACTCGAGGTTTGTCATCTCTTTCACCGTGTCCTATCTTACTATGAGCTAGTCCGCTGACGAGAGCATAAGAAAGCCCCATACTCCGCAGAAGCTCAGCAGGCGCAGTCAAATGGTGATTTCCCAAGGGCATTTCGTAAGCTGGCTAAGCGGCGAATGTCTGTTCGTGCTGCTGAGCCGTGGATGGCTGCTATAGTGGCAATGACAGATCACTTCATCTATACCAATGGCCACTTGTGCTACACCATTGGCAACAAGCATCTGCGTATTCTCAACACGCTTCAACAGACGCCCACGACAGAATTAACTGTTGACGTGCCACTGCTCCTCAAACTCGCAGTTCGAGATTATGATCATCTTAGACCGCACACAGTTGAGCCTCTTTACTATGCCGAGGGAGTCATGTCATGTCTCGTCACCCAAGCCATGGAGGATCTGACCACATGCAGCTGGCTCATCATATTTGAGCTAAAAGAGAGACCCAGCTGGGTTGTAGTACAAAGACCATGTTCAAGATATCCACTCTTTGTACGTAACGACAAGAACTATCTGTTTTGGGGCTCGAGATCACACACAACACTCGACGGCTCCTATAGATGGGGTCTTCAGTGCCTCAATATCCATACGCGCAAATGGTCAGATTCGCAGCTCATTTTGTGGGACTTTGAAGGAGCAAACATAGGCTCAGACGCCTGTTTTGAAATCTTTGATGGTCAGATTTATTGTGTTTCGAATAAATTGAAAACACAGACAGAGAATGGCGCACGCAACAACTTCTACCAAGTTCTGCGATTCCCTGTGGATGATGCAGTACACGAAAGAAGCGAGAAGCCTCTCATGCGTGACCTATGGCGCCGTCATGATTCGGAGGGCCTGGTAGATGAGCGCTGGACTTCTTTACAGCTCAGCAAAAGCGAGACAACAGGAAAGCTATCCATTGTTGAGATACGAAAAGAGTGGTGTTCTGGAAAGGCGGGCAGTCAAAGGACGTGTTATAGAAAGGAGCTTCAGTTTGGCCGGCAACAAGCCAATCGATCATTAGAACCTCTTCTTCTAACACCACCTGAATCCATGACAGGAAGTCCCACTGAAGAGGATTGGAACAGCGGGGACCATGTGGAAGAACGTCTACGCAAGGACATTCACGTTGGCGATGGCTCGGGAGATACTAAGATGTACACCCTTCAAGAGTGTTTTGTCCGTTCATACAACCCATCTTGCGACTCATTCGTCGATCTTGTTACTGAGGCCTGTGGCTCAGACTCAGCACTGCAACTCAGAGTACGACCCAAGACAGATGGATCATCCGCTAATGTTTGGCCACGGGATGAGCACCCGTACCGTAATGATGGTGTACTGGCACAGCTTCATGGTGTCCTCAACCCCATACAGCCGATCAAAGGAATTCAATGGAGTATGGATGAGCGGATACTTGTTTATTCACCAACCCACATGGTCACTGGGCACTTGAGGCCTCTTGTACTCATATCATTTGATCCAGGATTTGTCTTAGGAGGCTTTCCAAACTATCGATGTAGCAGTGTGGAGGCAGGCTACAAGCCCAGTAGCCCACCTCACCAGGAAGGGGCTACCATCGGCCTACCAAACGAAATGCTGTCGCCGCAGAGCCAGGAACTTGAAGAATGTGCATTGGCAGGAGAAGAGGTTAAGAAGGCCATTTCTAGCTTCGTCAAACTGCGGCCTGCGCTATATCGGCAGATAAGTATGGGTAATGGGGACACTCATGGCTTTGATATGTCATCTGGAGTCCCTTCGGTGTTGGAACCTATGATGTGATTGTGGTCTCGGATTTTGAGTAATACTGAGGCCTTCTGTAGCTTCACTCATGACCATAAGGGGTTAGCATACTGATATGTCAAGAGACTATATAACCAATCAATACATATTCATACTAGAACCGATGAGAGTTTCTTACTTTTCTGTCTAGCATTGTCTTGCATTACGGCACATGTAGATCACCTTGCATAAATGCAAGGAATCCTTTCGGTCACGGCAGTAGAACTTCTATCCATTTGGTGTCAAGACGAGCGGCCTTGCACACAGCATCGAAGATCAAATGCATGCGAGGACAAAAGATGTCAGCTACATTGACACCAAGGACTTAGGAGGCCTCCCAATACTAGACCAAGAAACGCAGCCCTATCTTTCCGAGGAACAGAGCATTGTAACTTTGAATTCCAATAACGTGTAACTATACAAGGTTTGATGGTCCATCTGCAAATGTAGAAACGCCCGCTTAAAGCCATGGATCGGATTTAACAGCACATCGTGCATGTCTGACTTGAATGTAAAGCAGGAAGTGCATAAAAGTGCAGGTTCTGGTGTGGTCTCGGCAGGCAAGAGGCAAGTGGTGACACGGCATGAGATGGGCTTTCGAAGGATTGCCTGTGCGCAGTCATTCGAGATATACAAATACCGTAACTTCCGAGATGGGGAAAGTGATACATCATCTGACATGGTTCAAAGAGTGGACGGCTAGTCACCATTTATTCACAAGTGCAATAATTTGGACGTGTCTGTCTTTATACAAATTCTCTCCAAATTGCCGCCAGTTTTAGCTTCCATGATCTACGCTATGTAGAGTTGCATCTTGCAACATATGATAAAATCTGCCCCAACAGGCATCCAGAATGGTTGGCAGTGTCCTTTCGGGCAGAGAAACCAAACGATAGAAATCCGCTCGATGCGGCATCAATAACCCAGTGTTTAATTGAATCCAGGTCCCGGGACTCCTAAAACGCGGGTTGACATCCAGTAATAGAAATTAAAAAGTACATGAGCTCGTGAGCGTATAAGATGATGGTCTATAACGGTTCTTCTCCAACGACAAAGTGCACAGAATGAATCAGATCTCAAGTTTTGTTTGGGTCGTTGATTACTTTTTTCGGCGGCCAAACATCTTTGACAGGCTACTGCCACTCTCTTCCTTGACGGGAGGAGAGGGAGCAGTCACGGGCTCAGGTGGTGGCTCGGATGTGCGGAGGAATGCCGCTAGGTCTGAAGTACGGGAAACATTGGAGGTTGCATCTCGAGGCTCAAACTTCTTCATGGGCACACGACGTCCAGAGGAAGCCGTAGAGACAGGTGGCGGTCGAGATTGGTTCTGGTTCTCGCCCGTGGGCTGTCCATATTTATCATAGCCTGACGGGACATTGACCTGGATAGGAATATAATTCCTAAGGCCAGCGCGGCTGCTGAGAGATCGGGAGTCGTTGCCTTGAGGAGATGTAGGGGAGTTGCTAGACTGGCTTTCCTTGCGGGTGAACCTTCCGATGAGACTTGGTGCACTGGCCTTCTTCTTTGGCATCTTCTGTGAAATGGGAACTGAAACAGGCTCAGGTGGAGGCTCATAGTTCATAAGAAACTCTGCCAAACTCTCTTCTTTCTTAACGGGAGGTTTGGGTGTTGCGAGCAAGACCTCATCATCCTCGTCTTCCTCGTCGCTAAAGTCGATGGCGTAGGGATCCTTGACACGCCTGGTCTTTCGTTTGGGCATCATGTCATCGTCGTCAAACATCTTGTTAGCGGGCGCAGATGGACCTTTGTTCTTTAGAAGAGCTGTGTTAGAGTTGATGGACGAGTGAATGGATGGCATTGACGATTCGGTGCCGTGAGTCGATGCTTGACTGTATCGAATATCGGGGATGCTAGCGTCAACGGCCTTACCACCTGATGGTTCTGCAGCGCCGGTCGTGTCCCATGGTGCGATGTTGTGAGGAATTCGGTTGCTGTTTGCGCCTGGAGGTCCCTGTCGGATGAAGTCGATTAGATCCGAGCTACCACTACGAGACTCCAACGCAGCATCACGAGGTTTATAGCGATTTCGATTGCTTGCCGACGAAACTCGGCGTCCATCGAGGCTGGATTTGCCAGGGGTATTTGGGCTGCTCACATTTCGAAGTTGCGTTGGACGGCTGTCTCCCGCAGGACCAGTAGATTTGATAAATTCTGCAAAATCTGCGGTAGATTCGCTAGGGACACGGGCGTCTCTGGGCGCCGCCGACATACGAGGTCTTCCTGTGTTAGGCGCTGGGAAAGGCCTTGACCTGTCATCGGCAAGCCGGTTGTTGGGGGATGATCGTTTGATGTCGGCTGTCGCTGACGAAGATTTGGATCGGTGGTGCGCCCGGCTGTCCTCACTCTTCCTTGGCCCCTTGAAAGTCGAGGTGTCGAGAGGTTGATTGTGCTGTTCCTTGTTAGCCTACTGCCAGCCCAAACAATTATAATCTACTCACATCCATATTACGCATATTCTCCGGAGTCAACGTGTAGGTGATGGTTTGGTTGCTCTGAATCAGTTCCTCAAAATTGCGGGCGACGTTAGAACGGCTACCGTTATCTTCAGAGGTTCTCACAGCCTTGAGACGACTGATACCGGAAGAGGCTGATGAGCCTGAAGTATGAGTTGGTCGTGGGGTCTGCGCACTTCCGCCCTCTTCATCCGAATCTCTTGTCTTTGTTCGTTCTATCGAAACCATACCAATGCTGTGAGTGGGAGATGTAGGAACCTTTTCATTTCGTGAAGCATGTCGATTTGACTGAGCAGAAGATGATTGTTGAAGGACTGGTGACTGAGCTCCAATAATGCCTTGAGGTCGTTTGCTCTCAGTTGGTGAAGCAGCCTCAGGGACAGTCGGGGTAGACGGGTGGTAAGCTAAATACTTATGAGGCCTCTGTTCCCGACTTCGATTTCGGTCAACCTCTTCGTCTGAGCCTGTGACCGCTGCAGCGCTGGACATTGACCCTCTCATAGCATCGACGGGAGAGCGGCTCTTGGGAACTGTAACAGTGGGACGAGTCGGACCGGTGGAGGTATTCTGCGCCTGTAAATCAGTTGCACTGGCGCTGTTAGGCACACTACTGCTGGACTGAATTGTGAGACTCGCACGGCGGATACGATCTGCCGCATCGGCCGAAGGTGACCGAGATCCACTGGGGCTCTTAGGACCCGCGACGTCGATGATACGAGCCGAGTGCACACTCGAGGACCTTTTAAGCGGGAAGGGACCGCCAGTGTCAGAGAGTGCTGGCGAGGAGCTTCCGGCCACGGACACTCGAGCTGAGGTCAAGATCTCCGCCTTCTCGTACGTTGGATCCTCCTCTGCCATCTCCTGCCGTGACTGGATACGACTTGTGATAATCTTTGACAACCGCTGGGTTTTGGTTGCCGCAGGCTCTGGGACAAGCTCATTCTTTGGCTTCTCCTCGCCAGTCTCTAACTGACCGTCACTGCTTTGCTCAGTCTTCGAATCTTCAGACAGGTTTTTCTTATTTTCATCAACGCTTGTATCGATGGAGACACCTTCCTTTGAGCGTTTCACAACAGCACGGTATGGGGAGGCGCCAGGCGTTGGGAGTGAGTTCGAACGCTTGCGACCAGTGAAGTCAGGGGTGTTGGGCTGCGACAGAGTGGGCGTGGGGAGGCCTTGGATAATTCCTAGTGGCGTAATTAACAGGCTCTTTGGTCGGCGTCTGCTAGCTTCTTCTGCTGGCTCCTCGTCCTCCTCTTCGTCGTTTTCATCACTATAATATGCCAGACCAGGAACCTCGATTTCATCGACGTCCTTGTCTCCCATTGGGAGCGCAATCTGGGAAGGCTCAGGGACTTCAGTTTGAGTTTCGGCTTCATCATCACGGGTAGCAACTCTGCTGAGAGCAGGTGAGTCACCGAGCGCACTGTCTTGTCTCGGATGTCCGTCAGACGCCCTTGAAAAAGGGCGGCCGTTCAGGTCAATAACAGGCGACCGTATCCGCTTCTTCCAACCCCTCCACAATCGCCCCAGTGTCCGGTCGAGTGCCACTCTCTCCATGTCTTGCTCTTCCACAACAATGCGATCAGCGGCATCGGTAGGGTTTCGGGTTCCTTCACTGATCTCCTTCTGGAATTTCGCCCGCAATCTGTGGTATGCGGCCTGACCCGCAACAGTAAGGGTGAGCTCGCCCATATACTCTATAACAGAGGTGAGGAAAATTGCGACAGCGGGTGAGATAACTTCGCTGGCCTGTTCATTGGCGCCAAACTCGAGGTTTTCCTGTTCCATGTACAGGTCCTCATCTTCTTCCTCCATATCGCCCAGAGAAGAATACACCATACATCGAAGACGGGTGCGCTTCCAAACCAATTCCAGGTCCCAATCGCGCGCCTTATCGCCTTGGGGCGGGACGAAGTCGTCCTCATCGCCTTCGCCCAGGTATTCACGTAGTTCTTCGTCGGCATTGTTGACGGCATCTTTTGCGAGTTTCGGTTTCAATACATCAGAAACGGCGGGTCGTAGGCTGGCAAGTGTGGTGGCGTGTGACCTGGATAGAAAGTTGAAAAGCAATTGATCCAGAAAGTTGTTGACAAGTTGGAGAGCCTCTATCGTGACAAGCGCGGGGTCGCTGGCAGGCTCGATGCCATGCTGATCATACCAGGTATCGGCATGGCTATCATGATCGTTGGTAATAATTTGAGAAGCGGCCGAAGCGGCAATGAAGGCCGCCGAAGGTGAGACAGAGAGTGGTGGCGACATGAGACTATGAGCAATGGTGGAAGGTCGGTCGCTAGAGAAACTTTGTGTCCTAGATCTCATGTCGCGAGGAGAGATGATGCCAGAGGTTGGCCGCGACACAGCCGGGTCGCCATTGGGGGTCGCCATGGTTGCGATCTATATCTGTTGGCGGGCAGACCTGCCGAGGTCACCCTCAAGAAAAACAAAGAAAGAGTCGGGACAGGGTCCAGTCGTTGAGGGTATGCCTTCGTTTGCTTTGTACGAGGCGAGCCGCAATCGATCGATCGGGTAGGCGTAGAATTGGGATTGGGGTCCCGGCTCCTATCCTGTGGGCTTGCGAAATGCTGGGGGGAGTGGGCGGATAGAAGTCGCAATGGCTGAACAGCAACGATATGGGTCGGCGAGATAAAGCTGATTCTTGTTAATTCAGAGTCGCATAAGACGTAGTGAGGCGCGGAAGTTGAACGGAGTGGAGGGACGGAGAGTTGCTTTTGCGTAACCACAAGTCGCAGATGTACGACGACTCAACCATTGGACAAGACAATAGCTGACGGACACGGGAGCGCCAAACGTCGCAAGCCGATGCCACCAATGCGATTGCAGGTCAGCAGCAGAAGCAGTTTGCCTACCTATATTGACCGTGTTTGCTTGGGGAAAGGAAATGAAGGAGAAGTAACGGTAGACGTACCTTGCAGCAACAAAGGCGATCGAGGACGCCAGATAGATTGTTGCAGCGTCGCAAAAGCAAAACCAATAGCCAAAAAAGAAGCAGTCGACCTGTGACAAGGACGAGTTTGAGGTGGGAAAAAAAGAAAGAGGTTGAGATAGAGGTGGAAGAAGAATAGTACAGTAGAGTAGAAAGAGGCGTGAGCGTGTTGTCGATCAGGACTCCTTGTTTGACCAAGTCGCGGGTTCGGCTGGTGCTAAGGGTCTCGTCTCGTTCAGCCGGCGGATCGTATGTAAGTAGTATGTATGCAAGCCCCTGGACCCAGCCAGAGAGAGACTAAGTAGACCTAAGACTAAGAGGTAGAAGCCTTCTTGTTCTGACTCTGGAGGGGTCCCTGTCTGCGGTACAGTGCGGTCCAGTACAATTACATGGCCTAATAAGGGACAGAATCGACAGCAGATGCCCATAAGGTGGTATTGTAAGGGCACTATCAGTGCGTCAAGGGTAATGGGATTTGCGACGAGGCCTGAAAGAGGTCTAGTCTGACTTGACTGTGACAGGGGTGATGAGGGTGGGTTGTTTCCAAAGGGCAGCTGGGGGTGAGATGCGATGAAGTCTCAAGCTGCGATTGGATAAGGTACTGCAGCAGCTCCACGGCGCCCACCGTTCCTGGACAAGGGCCGGGCTGTATCGCAGGGTTTGAGTCAGGGACTCTTAGAGGGTCAACGGAGCCGAGTTAGGCTTTTAATTGGGATAGGGGGGGTTTTTTGGGGGG